ACAAGTGGCACAGGGGGACAGGGAATGGGGGTTGCAGTCAGTTCATTGCACATTGTCTTCTGCTGCTCCTTCCCCTTCAAGGGCAGGACTCTCACTCTTCCAGTGCTCCAGCCTGGGGTCCCTCCCACAGGAGACAGTCCTCCATGAACTTCTCCAATGTGAGTCCTTCCCACAGCCTGCAGTTCTTCATGAACTGCTCCAGCCTGGGTCACTTCTTGCTTGCTCCAGCATGGATGTCCTACAGGGTCAGAGATCTGCTCCACCATGGAGCTCCATGGGCTGCAGGGGGACAGCCTGCCTCACCATGGTCTTCACCATGGGCTGCAGGGGAATCTCTGCTCCAACGCCTGGAGCACATTCTCCCCCTCCTTCACTGACCTGGGTGTCTGCAGAGTTATTTTCACGTATTCTCACTCCTCTCTCTGGCTGCAAAAAGCCATATGCACGTTTTTTTCCCCTTCTTAAATATGTTATACCAGAGGCGCTACCACTGTCGCTGACTGGCTTGGCCTTGACCAGTGGCGGTTCCTTCTTGGAGCCAGCTGGCACTATCTGACACAGGGGAAGCTGCTAGCAACTTCTTGCAGAAGCCCCCTCTGCAACCCCCACTGCTACCAAAACCTTGCCACGCAAACCCAGTACAGATATTCTCTCTAGTAAAGTAAAATGAAAGTAAAAATTTGGGAGCTTTTATTCAGGGAAAACTTCCTAAAAATGGCATACTTGGTGAATGCCCTGTCTTTAGACGACATATGAAACTCAGTTTGACAACCATTTCTCCTGAAATACAGGCACTCGTCCCTGAAAACTGAACAGAGTGGTCATCTTAAATGTTTCACATGGAAAGGAAAATAAAACAGAGGATCTTTTATAGTATTATAATATTTTAAACTTGATACAGAAGTGCAAACATGCAAAATATTGATGAATTACTGTTGTATGAAAAGAGATTAATAAATGTATAACCATGTTAGAGTTCATACTATGTACATCAGTGGTTACTAGTATGCCAAAGAAGAAAGCGGTAAAACAGCCAGGAAAAATCACTACAGATCCTCATATGTTTACTATCTTCATCATGTACTTCTTTCATGTATGTAAAATGAAGTAATGGTTTTTGAAGGAGAAAATGTTATACGGTTCCATGTTATGATAGGAAATCAAATAAAAAAAGAAGGTATGTAAATAAAAAACAAGCTTATGCTTAAATGAAAATTGCTGATTTCACTAGCTGTAATGCAATCCCAGATTCTTTGCATTATGTGAATTAAAGGGATGTATTTTCACACTTGAATGTGACATATCAGAGTTTTCCAGAATTTTGAGATTGAAATCATTGGAGATGAAGGCTATCTAAGACCAAAAACTAGAATCACAGGATCTACAGAAAAGGAATATGAAATGCAAAAATAGCAAAACTGCAAAACTTGGGAAGTGAGGCAAAGAGATAATTGTTTCAGATTTGTGAAAGTGACCCTTTGCGAAAGTGACTGCATAATTGACTGACTTACGGTGACACAGCAATCTAACTAACAGTACCAACAGGAATAATGAGAGCGTTTGCCTGTTTAGAAGTTTCTGCTGGATAGTTTTGACAAGATTTATGCCATTTTGCAGGCAGAGTTAAGCATTGTACCTACATTTATTCGTAGGGCTGAAAGGATTTCCATCTCTCTTAATTATACCAATGTCGCTTTTTCTTGATTTCTTGTTTATAGTCCCACTTTACCTGTTTTCTCATGGAATCCTCCGAAGACATTTATCATCTGCAGACGCACAGATTTTTTAATTTTTTTTTTTTATATGTAGTCATCTTAGGAGTAACATATTTACAATCTTTAAGGTTTGCGCTTGCTTCCACTGTGTTTATTCCAAAGGTTTTTCACTTTAGGGAAAAACATCCGTAGTGAAATAATCCACTAATTAAAAAACATGAATTATTGGGGTCCCTGACATAGCTGTAATTTAGATCAACAAATTATTATTCTGAGATGCTGTGATGAAAGAGTTTTTAAGCAAATACTCTGAAGTGTATTAATGAAGATTGTCTATTCCTTTACACCAAATTTACTCTGCCTGTGGAGCTCAAATACTTCAAACACACTTGTAGGTAATACAGTGGCAGGACTGGGAGTGTGAGTGAAGGGGAAAGGAGGGTGTCTGGACCATATTATTTACAGTTTCAGGTTAGATGCCTACTTTTCCTTTTACATAATTTTTGTAATTGAAAGAGATATATTTGTGTGGAGGGTGATTCAGAACACGTAAGTTCTGGTTTGTGCACCAAGTGGAAATAGGAATCGCAGGGAGGTTAGCCTGCTAGCGAGGCAATTGGATAGGCAGTGCAAAAATCATTTAACATGTTTGGACTTCAGTGTACCCCAAAAATTCTTTGCATGTTTTAAGAATTTGATACTGATTAAGCGGGATTAATTTATATGCCTTAAATTTCAAGATCACTTAGGAGCCCAAATAAAAGACATTGTCTGGAATGTATTGTGCATCAGGGTCTTTCCAGTTCATTTCACTATTGAGTCATGTCAGTCAGCTTTCATAGGTGCATCTAAGTATTAGATGGAATGAAAGTCACCAGAATGTGGCTCCCTGTATTCCCAATTTCACAAGAACTGTCCTGGTTTAACTAACTAACGATAAAGTACGTACAAACACACAGTTTAAACAGTATTTAAAACCCACAAACTATCCTAAATAAAAACACACTTTGCCTTCGGAACACAAAATGCTCATAGAAAGATGTGAAGTATAGCAGAGGACGCGTGGTCTGAATGTATATTTTTTTAATGCACTATAGTGGAAAGACAGTTGTGTTTTCTTTTTCTTATGCTAGTTCAGAAATGCCACCATTCAGCTATTGTGTAACTCTTAATGTGTGAAGCCTTCCACTTTCCTCACTTCTCTTGCATTCAGATGTTGAGAAAATGTATATTTATATCTCAAAATGCTGTATATGAATGAAATTTTTAATCAATATTCATACAGGATGTTGTTTCAAATCTAATCTTCCAGCTAGATTACAGTATGCAAACAAAATTCAGTATGCAAGATGGATCAGATTATGTTTTTCCATCAAAAGGTTTCTAGGAATGGTAGGGTGTTCACTGTCTAATGTGCAGCTGAAGGCACAACAGCATTTTAAACCTGCAAAATATCAAATGTTTAGATTTGATAAATCCTTTAGAAAGGATTTCTAGGGTATCATTTTTACTAGCATAGGGTAGCATAAGAAAAGAAAGTACATGAGCACAATACAACTGGCACATGGAATGATCTACATATTACTGAAATACCAGGGGGGGAGTAGAGAAAGGGAAGAAAATTTCAATGAATCTGTAATTTAGTGATATACATTACTTTGGCAGTTGGTATAAAAATTTCTTATGCTTTGACCTAAAAGTGTACGGATACAAACATCAGTGTGTTTTCTGATGTTCATTTGCATCTAGATCCCCTTGACATTTTTCTAACGCTGTTTTGCAAAAGTAGCATTTATACATAAACTAAAGCTATGCTTTATAAAATCACAAATATTTCTTGCACAAGACTATAACAAGAAACTTTCTGATAGTGATAGAAAGGCAATTCTCCACTTCAAGTGCAGGATTCTGTGGAGTGGAGAGAATCTTTCCAAGGGAAGAATGATAACAGAAAGGATGGAGTTTCTGGCTCTTGAGATGTTACGGATAATTTTGACAGTTCATTTTCACAAAATTATTTCAGTGCATCGCCGAGTCTGGAGACTGTCTTTACAGTCTAAATGAAGGCAGACTAAAAATGTCATTGGATGAAAACAAAAAGAATTGCAATGGGAGAAACAATGCCATGGTAAAACTCATTTTTTTAGCACAAAGTCATCGTGATCTGAGTATCATAGCTGAGTTTCAGATTCAGATCTTTGTTTCTTTGGATAGCTTGCAGTCTGCCAAGTTGGAGAGCCCTGCAACAAATTAATATCTTCCAGTTATGTTCAGTAATGATTTACAAAGCACTCTATGCACCACTTAAAAATGTTATTCTATCTTCTGTGATAGCAAAGGCACTTC